GAGGGAGAGGGGCTAATGAGGAATTGGTCAAGGGATATAAAGAATGACTGAGTATTGTAACAATGAATAAGCTAAAGATACTGACCTAACCACCACACATTGTACACAATTATTGAAAATCAATGTTTACCCCACACGTATGTATAATAAATCATCTAAAAACCAAAAAAAATGGAAATATGGCCAAGGAAATGTAACAAAATTTGGAATAGAAGATCAAGGTCGGGCAAGAAGAGTTGGGGTACATAGAATATAGATATGGAAGACTATGTTTTTTAGGTATTTGGGGGATAGAAAGTTAATTAAAACTTGTTGTGCCTGAACATAGAGAAATTATCATCTGACCCCAAATCACATTATCCACAGAGTTGTCTCACTGGTTGTGTAGGATGAATAAGCTAAAGATACTGACCTAACCACCACACATTGTACACAATTATTGAAAATCAATGTTTACCCCACATGTATGTATAATAAATCATCTAAAAACCAAAAAAAAAATGGAAATATGGCCAAGGAAATGTAACAAAATTGGAATAGAAGATCAAGGTCGGGCAAGAAGAGTTGGGGTACATAGAATATAGATATGGAAGACTATGTTTTTTAGGTATTTGGGAGATAGAAAGTTAATTAAAACTTGTTGTGCCTGAACACAGAGAAATTATCATCTGACCCCAAATCACATTATCCACAGAGTTGTCTCACTGGTTGTGTAGTTTGTGCATGGCACGAAGGTACCCAGTGGAGGGGCTGAAGGGGAATTGAAAGCTGCCTATATATCGGCTCTCAAATTCCGAAGGGCTTTCATTTCCTTGGGCAAATGCTTAGCTCATCTGCAGTACCTTGTTAACCACTACAGACAACCATTTCTTAATAGAAAATACAATGACACCAGAACATCCTGGATGTACCGTTTTCATCAGAGAGTGTCCAAGATGGATTTTAACTTTGATGATTTGTCCAAGATGTATTCTATCTTTGATGATTTGTCCAAGATGATTTTAACTGGCACACCATCACCTCCAAGAAAACTCACTCTACATGAAGGAGATTTGACTCTACTCCAGTGAGGCAGGTTTTCTAAGTCTTCAGACAAAGCTTTCAGACTATGAAATCCAGAACCTGGACTCTTGCAAGATTTTATTTTCCAGATAACATACATTAACCAAACTTTCTTTTGAAAAATGGATATAAACTTTGCCACAAATCTCTCTCTCAATGTAGTATAGTAAGTGTTATAGGTTCAATTTAAAATATGTTTATGCCTACCTCAGAATTAGTAATTAGAATTAATAATCCTAAGTCATTAACTAAATTAAATCCACCAGGTAAAAGCACTGCAAATTGATTGGCCTTATGTGTAAGCACCACTGTTCTAGCAGTAAAATGCTGAAGAAACCCAGCATGTTCTGCAGGCATTATCAGACAAAGTTAAGCAGGTATGGACAAGAACTGGTATTCTGAGTCTCAACCTTCAAACCAAAGAAAACAAACTTTATCTCAGCAACAAAATGTGTTTACTTATGAACAAAGGCAAAAGAGTACCAACATGGGTAATGCCAGCACAAAAGCAAAAACAATCAATTGAGACACTCCCTCTTAAGGGCCTGGCAAAACGTTATAGCACATTAATCTGAAAAACAAAATTATGGCTGGCCCATTAGATTAGTTGGTTAGAGCACGGTGTTGATAACACCAAGGTCCAGGGTTCAATCCTTGTACTAGCAAACTGCCAAAAAAAAAAAAGATAAACAAAATTTTACAAAAACATAGTATATCAAGTGTGATTTAATATCTGAATAAGTCTTTATGGTCCTAATCCATTCTCTAAAAGAGCTGATTGGATGATAAAATGTCAAAAGCTGTAACTTGGAAAGTGATCAATAAAAAAAGAATTGAAATAAAAA